ATCAAATTTTTCAGGCGGAAATTTCCGGAGGTCATGTGAGATTCCGTAAATCGACGCCTAATTAAATTTCCTGATGTTTATTTAACAAAATATAAGCTTTTTATGTAAATTTGTATCACGAATACAAACTTATCATATGATCATCATTCCAAATTTTATTTATAAATTACTCTGATAGATAGATGAATCAGTAATTAATATTATTTTTTTTTAAACAAAAAAGATTTTTTAATAAAAATTTTTAAAAATTTATATAACTTTTGAAAATATATATTTCAAAAATTTTTTTTAATAATTTTAATTTTAATTTTAATTTTGACTTTTATTTTAATTTCGACTTTTATTTTTAATTTCGACTTCCATTTTAATTTTTGACTTTTATTTTTAATTTCGACTCTCATTTTTAATTTTGACGTTTATTTTAATTTCGACTTTTATTTTAATTTTGACTCACATTTTAATTTTGAAATATCAAAATTTTGAAATAGTATTTTAAGGTTAATTTCAGAATATTTATATTTTAGGTTTCGGATTCCAAAATAATTTTGCATACAAGTATAACTTAGACTAACTCTATAAAGAGATATATCTGCAACCTACCATCTGACAGCAACAGCTATCTTTGGCATGTTAAGGTCCTGCTGAACAATCAATAAAACTAGTTCTTTTAAAAAATCCAGTAAGTAAATTTTATATTATACCAGATTTTTAAATTTTTAAAAACTAATGAAATTTTAAAAAAATAGAATAAAATTGAAATAATGAAATTTTTGAATATGAATTTGACTTTTCTGAAAGACTAAAAGAAGCTCTCAAAAAGTTAGCAGCTCTCAAAAAATTAGTAGTTTTCAAAAGACCAGTAGCTTCCAAAAGAAATAAAAAAATTATTGAAACTGAAATCTTGTGAATAAAAAATAAAAAATAACATCCATAAGAAAAGATGAAGAAAATAATGATAATGATGATGAAACTGATGAAGGTAGTGAAATTAACAAAGGTGACGAAGTTAACAAAGGTGATGAATATCATAATAAAATAATAAATATTGATGAAAATAAGGAGAAATAATAAAAAATTAATTTTTAAATATTTATATATTTTGAAAATTTTTGTAAATATTATAAATAAAATAATAATTATTAATAAATTATAAAATGTAAAAAATTGTCTATATATAAATACAAATTTTATAAATTTAGTAAAAATATTATGAAAATTTTTGTAATATTATGAAATATTATGAAATTTTGCAAAATTTTTTTATACAATCTTTCAAAGATATCAGAAATTTGTAAAAATTTGTGAAGTAAAAATTTGTACAATTTTTTATCTATTAAAATTACCTGATGAAATTGAATAAGTAATTAGTGATTCTATTGAAATATCATTAATTATTTATTCAATTTATATTTTAAAAATCTAAAACTTTACAGTAAATATACTATATTTTCTAGAATAAGATTATTTAATATTATTTTAAATAATTTATAATTTGTAAAAATATTTTTATATATAGTAAATATAAATTAATATTTTTTAATAATTTTATTGTATATTTTACTTTTATTTAAAGTCAAAATACTAGTTTATAACCTTGAATATAATAATAATTAAAGATATTTTAAATAATAAAATTTACATTTTTCATTAAGTTATTCTATAGCTCCAATTGATTTTTAATGAAATGATTAAAATTACAAAATAAATTTTTATAAAATCAAAACTTTATTGAAAAATAGTTAGTTTTCAAACATAAATTTTACATGACTTTTATATAACAGTATAAAAGTATTAAACAGAATCGTATATATCTGATGATCAATAATTTATGATAAAAATTTCATTATATAAATTTATGTCTCCATTGATTTTCATATGTGATATATTTAAAGAAAAATTTGTAAACAAATTTGCCTGGAATTGCTTATAGTTTAAGGAATAGTAACTTAAAATAATTTTAATATCTTAAAATAATGTTGATAGCCTAAAATATTTTTGATAGCTTAAAATGTTTTTGGTTACCAAAAATATTTTTAGCATTTTTAACTTTTAAAATATATGCCAAAATATTTTCAGTATTTTAATATTGTAATTTTTATTAATTTTAACAACAAATATATCAATAGCTATTCAATAGATATCCAAAATACAAATTTCAACTTGTACATTATACAAAATAAGAAGAATGTACTTAACAATTATTTTTCAACATGGGAATCTGATTAAAAAATTTATTTAAGAAAAGATATACTTATGGAAGGTACATGTTATCAAAACTATTAAATTTAATCTGATACAATTAAAATTACAAAAATTTAAAATTGAGTCATATGAAAAATTGATACAATTGATACAATTATTTGATATAATTACATAGACAATTAAAAGCTTTTTACTTTTGACAACATGTACATATAGTACATTCATAGAGCATAGGTCAAACACAAAAGAATAGATGGCATAAATAGGAATTTTGATTTTAGCTGATTTATAATATATGATTAAATAAAACAGTTGATTCTAGCTGGTCTATGATATAGGAATTTCAATTTTAGTTAATCTATAATATAGGAATTATCATTTAGTATAGCAATTTTTTTGTATTTAACTAGTGGAAGATTGACTGTATATAATATTGATATTTATTATTTTTGTTTATATAATATTTTCAATATATAATTTACAAAAAAAGAAAATATGAAAGTATATGTATATAACAAGCAAATTATTAATTAAAAATTAATAATAATCTAAATTTTCAAAATTAATAAAAACTTTTTATATACAACAAATTTTATAAAATCTCTATTTTTCTGTTTTAAAAATAAGTACAAATATTCAAAATCTAAAATTTACAAAAAAACATAATCAATTTATTTGATCAACTTATTTGTTTGTCATTGTACAATTGATAATAAAAAAAAACAAATAAATAATAGGAAATTTTGTTAAATAAAGAAATTTTGTTAAATAAAATAATATTGTAATCAATATATATTTTTATAATTAATAAATCATACTTACTTTTCTTTTTCTTTTTATTAACATCTTCACTTTTTTTACGCCTTTTATTCATTTGATCTTATAATAAAAAAAATTAATTAATAAATTGAAAAATTAATAATATACAACTATTAATATTGTTGTTGTTGTTGTTATTGTTATTGTTACCATTAGGAAGTCCTGAATTCAAAGTTGGTAGTATAGAAGATAAATGATCCTAAAACATTAAGATATGATCACAATTATTATTATACAATATTTTTAATGATAAAATATAAAATCATTTAAATAAACAATAACATACTGTTATATTTTGTCCAGTATTAGTAGAAATAATTATAGAAGAACTTAATTGTCCTTGATTATTATTATTATCTTTATCCTTATTATCATCATCATCTTGTTGAGATGATAATTGAGAATATTGTAATTTTATTTTATTTGCAGTATGTTCCATTGCTTGTTGAACACTATTACGAAAATTTACTAATTCTATAGGTTGTTGTTGTTGAATCATTCTAGCTTCTATATATATAATAATTAATTAAGAAATAAAGAAAGAATAAAGAAAGAGTAAAGAAAGAATAAAGAATAATAGTTAGTAATCTGATATATATTTTTGAACTCAAAATTTATATATTAAATGTTTACTCGATGATTCCGATTTCCACGTATATCCAGTTGCGGGATGAAATTCCACTTGATTATAAGCTTTATTAAAAGCTAAATGTAATTGATGAATACTTGTTAACTAGAAAAAAAAGATTAAATTGGAAATCAACTTGAAGTTAAAGAAAATCAGATTGAATTGATTATATATAATCTACTTACAACCCGATTTCCAATAATAGAATATAAATTTGGTGCTTGATAAATATTATTATTCCAAACATAGAATGTTGCTACCGGACTTACTGTAATTGAATTATAATCATATTTAAAAATAATACAAAATTATATCATAATTATATTTAAAACGAACCTTCCCATTCGTTTAACCTATTCTGTTTACGGATTACCCACAAAACTGGAGGTTTCTCAAGAACAACTTGAAATTCAATTCCCTTCATTTTTCTACAAAAAAATAATAATAATTAAATGTAAAGTTCATAATAAATAATCTGAATGTAAAGTTCATAATAATAATTCATTTCTTTAATATATATATTTTTTTACATACTTTAAAACAATATTTAAATCTTTTAAATCATTATAACGTGTTTGCATTTGTAAAGTAGCATTGTTGCATAATGGATCCCAAAAAGTTGATTCAGCAAAATAATTTAATACATTATTTGAATTAAGTCCTTCGGGTTGCTAAATAATCAAATAATATTATTAAAATATTAATAAATATAATTAAATAATTAAAAAAATCAAGATATTCTATTACATAACCAGAGATCTGTTATTTACAGCTTGAATCCATTCTATACTTCTCCAAGTAATTGTAGTAGGATCCGGAAATGCTTCTTCGTCTGGTTCTGCCATATTTTATTCGTAGTAATATTTCTATATTTCAGATCTTTAAATAAACTTCTCTATATGTACTTCGATATGTACTTCTACCATTGTCCCATTGTCAATGAATTGTCGCGCTTCGTGTAATTCGTGTAACGATCGCGACATACATACAAGTAACACCTTTAATCCGTAACCCCGGTTAGGTTAGGTTTTTAATCAGCCAATAAATCGATAAAAATATTTTTCACACTCTATAAAAGATGATTTGGAATGTCTGGTTGACCTGCATTGTTCTAACATAAATATTTCAAGCATTAAATGACAGATATTTTGTTCGAGGTGAAATATTATGGTTCTTTAGTACAGTAGTTTTAAATCCATATGAAATGAATGTGTGAAATGATTGGCAAATGAGGTATGAGGTTAATTTTATATTGAGACAAATATCTCTACTTTTACACCTTAATTAAGATCCAGTTAATAAAATTTGTCTGTTTTTCTTCATTCAACCCGTGTTAAAGAAAGTTGAGAACTTAATTTGTATTTGTCTTTAGGACTTGAAGTTTTTGCCTAAAATATCAAAACAACTTGAGATTTCATATGAGAAAAAAAAGCAAATATCTGTAATTAATGATTTGTTTATTGACTTAGGAGAATAAAAGAATAAAGATTCTGTAGAATCAAAATGTTGAACAATATTGTGAAAAAAAAAAATTTTTTTTTTCTGTTACGTTTTAAGGTTTGACCAGCGGGTTTCATACTTTTTTTTTTAACCATATATATGCATCTGTAGTGTGCATGCTATATATATGTTCACCTCGAGTTTTGAGCATTCTTTATCTGTCAATTAAATTTGTTTTAAGCTTGTCAGGGTTAGTATATTTATCATCGTGTTCTCGGGGACTTGGAATTTTTTTTAACGTGAAAAACCATATTAACTTGCACGTGAAATAATTCTGATCACCTGTAAGACTATCCTCTAACCCTAATAGCATTAAATCATATGACTGTACGTTGCACCACATTTTCTATATTAATACATCATGATTTACACGGATTTACGTGTGCTTTCTCTCACACTTGTTGTTGTTACGTGTACTTCCATTTCATTCTTATCTCATTCTTATTCTTAACGTGTAGTTTCTCTCACTCCTCTCACTCTTGTTGTTTTAGTTCTTTACACTTTACATTTAAGAATGACTTCGTTAACTTCTTTTACTAATCATAATAACCAAAGACGTTATAAACGCGTTGGCATTCGTAGCATGCTGATTCTCAATGTAATCATTATCCTTTTAATTTTTGGTTTAAAACGGCTCTTCTCTTCTCTATATTCCTTCTCTTCTATCTATTCCAATACCGCTCCATCATTAACCGACGAAACATTTGTAGAAGTTGAAAAGTTTGTCTTATGGGTAAAGCACCCTCAACATTGCGATCCTGTTAAAGTTAAAGTACCATATCACGCAGATATTGGTGATGTCAAAAAAGCCATCAAAGAAGAATTACGACCTGCTTTAGACAAAGAAAGTTTGGGTAAAGTAGTAATACTTAGTCCTAAAATTGGAAAACTCAATCCACGTACTCTGGTTCGTCAAGTTCAACTAAGTAAAGACGAAAACTTAATAGTCTATGTGGATAACGTTGGTAAGGATTGAAATTTAAATAAATAATTCATTTAATTTTATTAATTATAATTTACTTTAATTATGATTATTATCATTATTATTATTATTTACTTTAATTAGAGACGCGACTCTTCTTGAAAACACTCACATCCGACCGAGTTCCAATACAAGTGAATGCACCTTTATGCCTTAAAAATGACGAGGCTTACTTGATCGTTGCAAAATTATTTGTCGGGCAAGCAGCACCTCAAGAAATAAACATATTAAAAGATAATCTATGTCCTTCTAGTATTGAAAGTTGGAGTTCCGTGTTTACATACCCCGCGACTAAAGATTAAAAATAACTCATATACAACCTTTATACAACCTCACACAATACAAATACAACCTCACATATATGATGGGACGACAGATATATTAAATGTATACGATGGAACGGTAGCCTTATTATATTTAATTTTTAATTATTATTATTATTATTATTATTATTATTATTATTATTATTATTATTTGTGTTGGTAATGTAAAATAATTTAAATATCTTTAAGGAGATTAAGAAGAGATTAAATAATTTAAATGAATGATATTAAATCTTTTAATTAAATCTTTTAATAAATTCTTTTATTAAATCTTTTATAAATCCTCTTAATAAATGATGAAAGGTAAGAATGGTTGGTGATTTTGTTTGATTGATCTAATATTTAATCAAATATTTAATCAATCAAATATTAATCAATCTTTACTTCAAAATTTACTGTAATTGTAATATCTTTTTTGAGTAGACTAACTTTCTTTCTTTATATTCTTTATTTTCTTTTCATATTTCTTCACTCAAATGTATATACCATTCAAAACCTGCTCGCAATCTATTTTGCGAAATATTATACAAAATATATTTCTAGATAGATAGATAGATATATATATATATATATAATAAATAAATAAATAAAATATTTTAATAAAAGAAATTATTGTTATTGATATTTTACAATAAGTTCCATGAATTGCTCATAATTCAACTTTGCCCAACCGTCATTATTTCCGTCTATAACACGGAATGCTTCAGTTAAACTTTTTACGGTAACACATAATTGAACAAAACTATCAAAGTTAACTGCAAGGTTTCCTTGATTAATTGCAACAACTTTTTGATTTACTATAACTTTTTTTTGATGTTCATTATTTAAAGTAGAATTTTTAATTTTATATCTTTTAATAAATCTGGATAACATCTCTTCACTAATATTTAACCCAAAATTATTCATGGCTAATGATAATTCATTTATATCAATATTACCACTATTATCTTTATCAAAAGCTGCAAAGATTCTCTTCCAATCTTCAATATATCTCCATAATCCCAAAAATTCTTCAAAATGAATAGTTCCATTACGGTTTGTGTCAAATAAATTAAGTAATAATTGAATAGTGTCTGTATTGAAAGGTGTCCAGTCACCATTCAATAATACACGTTGTAATTCGATTGCATTAATTGTTCCGGAATTGTCAAGATCAATGTGGGAAAAGAAGGTATGAAGTTCTTGGTCTGAGATTTTTTTAGAATTCATGATAATATATTATATTTATCAAATATAAATTTTTATTGTTATTGAAAGAGAATTGAAGATTTATTTTAGCTTCATAGATTATAGATTATTATTTTTTTACATTTAAAATACAACTATAATGAAGAAATTGTACTGTATTACGGAAAATGTATTACGAACGAGTACTGTACTACTTATGAACGTTCGTGTTTTTTTTTAACAGTATATTTGTTAAATTGACCAATAATTTCACATTTTACATTCACATTATTCCATTATTCACATTTACATTTCACACGATCATTATTTTCTGTAGTTCAATAATAAAAATGTCTTTAAAAGTAATTAAATTTTGATTTAGAAAATAATTAAGAATAATTATTGAAGAATTATAATTATTAAGAACGTAATGTTAACATTAAATTAGTATCTATCTCAAAAAATCGCGCAAACAATTGACGAAGAATTAATGTCTCAAATTGGAGGTTTCTCAGTTGACCAAGTAGTAGAATTTCAAATTTTCGAATTCCAATAAATTATATAAAAAAAATTCATTTATTTAATTAATCAATTTTTTATAGCTTATGGAACTTGCTGGCTTGAGTGTCGCACAAGCTATTGCTAAAGTATATGACAAGTCGAGTCATTCACGTGTATTGATTTGTTGTGGTCCAGGAAATAATGGTGGCGATGGTATTTAATAAAATTCTTTAATAAAATTCTTGTAGTAAATTTCATCCGATTTGACCTATTATTACTTATTTTATGTAGGTCTTGTAGCAGCTCGTCATCTTTCTCATTTTGGATATAAACCAAATATTTTTTATCCAAAGCAAAGTACCAAAGAATTATTTCAGGTACATTCATTCATCAGTATTATAATATTTAATAATTGGATAAAATAATAAATAATTACAATTTCTTTTTTTAGAGATTAGTAACTCAATGTAAAAATCTTAAGATTCCATTTTCAAATAACTTAAATAACCTGGATGAACAACTTTTAAATAATGATTTAGTATTGGATGCTATATTTGGTAGATGTTGATTATTTTTGTTATTTTTTTTTTTTTATTTTTTATTTTTAAAAAATTTTTATTTTTTATTTCAGGATTTAGTTTCACTGGACAAATAAGAACACCTTTTGATGAAGTTATACGAGTATTTATTTGATTTATTTATTATTTATTATTTATTATTTAGGTATTTTTGATTTGTTAATAACATATTGTCTTTAGAAACTAAAAGAAACAAAATTACCAATAGCATCAGGTTTGATTTTCTTATTATTTATTATAAGGATTTTGTTTTTTAACGCATCTGCGTTGTGGCATATTTGTCACCCTTATCTGTCACCCTTATCTGTCACTCTTATCTGTCACCCTTATCTGTCACTCTTATCTGTCACCCTTATCCGTCACCCTTATCTGTCACCAATAAACCTATGCGCCAAAACGCAGAAACAAAACCCTTATTATAATTATAAATTCTTAAATTTTAATAATTTTCATAAATTTTTATAACTTTCATAAATTTGATCTTTTATACATATAATAATCAGTTGACATTCCATCTGCATGGGATGTTGAGAAAGGTATAAAATATAAATTTTATAAATTTACCAATTTTTACCAAAAAAAAATTAATTAATAAAGTGCATTTTGTATATTTATTTTTTTTTAGGAAATATTGATAACTGTGGATTTACTCCTTCAATGCTTATCTCCCTTACAGCCCCTAAATTAGGAGTAAACCAATTTACTGGAAAACATTTTCTTGGGGGTAGATTTATTTCACCGTAAGTAAATTATTTATCTTACTTTCCACAATAATAATTATTATAATAATTATAATTATAATAATAATTTTGTTCTTGATGATGATTTTCTTAGAGAATTTGCAAAAAAATATGAACTTAATCTTCCTCCATATCCTGGAACAGAACAAATAGTTGATATTACTGATTTATCAAAAGGAAAATTATAGATTCAAAGGGAAAATTGTAAATTAAAAGGTAAGGTAATATATTTATTACATATTTTATGTATTTGAATAAATTATAAATATATAAATATATATATATATAACCTCTTTAAAGTTTGATATACAGTGTGTAACAAAAGTCTTTGCACTAATTTAACTGCTCATTGATTTACAACAATTGAACGAAATCACATGTTTAATATATCATTTGAAAGCTTAAAATAACAATTTTTTATTAATAATAAAATTAATAATTAATACGTTCGCCCTTATTTAAAATAATAAGTTCACATCGTTCCTTCATTGAATTTACTAAATTAATTAAAACATCTTGCGGGATATTTTCCCACTCCTCTACTATAAAACGTTCCAATTCAACCAGATTTTTTTGGCATACGTTTTTCTACATTTTTTTTTAACAATACTCCATAAATTTTCTATAGGGTTGATATCGGGACTGTTGGACGGCCAATCAATGATTTGCGGTAAATTCTCTTGAATGAATAGCTTGGCAACACGGCTGGTATGCTTAGGATCGTTATCCTGTTAAAATCGCCAGTTCTTGCCAAGCATACGATAAATCTCTGGAGAGTGTTTTCTAAGAATCTCAACGTAAAAGGGTCCATTCATAATCTGCTGAAAACAAAAAAGACTTGTTTTACCGTGATAGCAAAACCCACCCCAAGCGAAAATTTTTGATCGGTTCTTAGGTATACAGCGAATTGGCCGGGAGCCCTTATACCATTGTCGTATAGTGTTCCTGAACAGCTGAAAAGCTGTCTCGTCGGTAAACAGCGTCTTTTTCCAATTATCATTTAGGTGTTTCTGCACCCATTCCATACGCTTTTCTTTATGCGTACTTGTGAGTAATGGTGTTGCGAGTGGTAAACTATTTTTATAACCCATACGGTTTAAATGCCTTAGAACCGTCATGTGAGCGACCTCAATATTGATTTCTGATAATTTTATAACTAACGAGTGTGTTGATAGGACAGAATTTCTTCGTAAATATTGACCAACGGCCTTGGAGATTTATGGTTTGATCTTTTTGGGACGACCGCTTCGTTTTTTATGCACAACACTTCCAGATTTTTTTAATTTGGCTATGTCATAATAAATTGTTCGTATCGGAATATTAGTTCGGCGGTGTATTTCGTGAGCATTGCGTACTCCCTCGTCCCACATATGTTGAATGGAGCAAGTGCGTACATTTATTCTCTTCCGAGACTTATTATTTAGAAAAGGACCAAGCACAAGTAACACAAAAGTTAGATCAGGTGAGTCATAATTTGTATCCAATTATACAAGCCAACCAGACTTAATTTAGGAATGTGACACTAATTTATTTGACATGATCGTCAGTGCAAAGACTTTTGTTACACACTGTATATGTATATATATATAATATTATTATTACAAATTTCATATGAATACAAAAACAATAATTATATAATTTTGAAGATAAATATATTATGAGAATAATTATTGAGAAAAAAGTGAAAAAATATTATGATATAATGTGTGCATGTGGATAAAATAAATAAACCTTGTAATGATTTAATGTAAATAATTCAATATAAATAAATTAATTGAAGTATTTTCTATTGGGAGAGTGACCAAAGAGTAAAAGACGAATTTCAGGAAGCATCTGTAATAAAAAAAAAAAAAATGAATATTAAGAAATGTCTAGTTTAAATTGATTTTTTGTAAATAATTATTTTACCTCTTCCTGAGCCAATCTTAATCTTTCTTCAAGTGTATTATCAATTCTTATCCGACCAAAATGTGATGTTAAAATAACACCTCCCGCACTTGTAAATAAAATGAAATAATATATATTATGAATCGACAAATTTTATGATAAATATGCGCAACAATAACAATAATACATCAAAAATGCAAATATAATATTTACCTATCATCTGGTAAGAAATTTTCATCCTCAATATCAATCTTAACTGATAAACCAGTAGATTTAGCAAATTCCTTTTGCGCCGAGTCAATAGCTTCTTTTGCTACATTTAAATCGCAACGTCTAACAAAAATTGTTACATTTTCATCCAAAAGTTGAAAAAGTCCCTTTTAAAAAAAATGTAGTTAAAAGTGGTTAGATACAAATTTTGAATAAAGTAAATGAAATGATATAAATACATACAAAATATAAAGAAAATATAAAGAAAGTATAAAGGAAATGTAAATTTAAAAGAAATTTACTTGTAATATTAAGTCTTTTAATAAATCACTGTATTGAGAAATTTTCTTAAGCCGAGTCCTTGCTTCGTTGAAAAGTTCCTCAAGCAATTCTTGACGCGCTTGAAGAACTTTAAGGCGTGATTTATTAATATTGTTTGATTGAGTACTAAATAAAATAAATCAAAAAATTAAAATTATGATATCTAAAATGAAAAAGAAATTATGAAAAAAACAGTTATTATACATTTTTTTTTGAACTTCGACTTGTTTTATTTTTCTTTGAAAAGCAGTTTCAATATTGATGGTTTCTTGGCGGACAAGTTTGGCCTATTGAAGTATATATATTTTAGAAAATGATAAAACATGAATAAGCTATAGTAGTATCAAGTAAATATACCTTTTCAATATTGAATTCTTCTTCGGCCTTTAATAATAAAGAAAACATTCTTCGCCTTAGTATTCAATTTATTTCAAATCATGTAATAGATTATATACTATAATAGACTTCACAAATAAATAACCTTGGATTTGATTTCGACAGCCTTTTCCATCGCCTCTTGTTTAATAAAAGCAACCTGAATGTCATTTTTATTCATTAGTCAGTATTCAATTCTATTTATTAAAAGCTAAAGATATCTCAACCAAAAAAAATGACTTCGGACCATTTTATTCATTTCATTGATAACATCTTCTTCGCTGAGAGCTCGTGAAGTCGACATTATTATTATTTTTTTTTTATTAGACGAAATTCTTTTAATATTTTAATGTTAAATTAATGTTTAATCTTTGGTAGATCCCTATTTGAAAAGGTGATTATCAATAAATGCATAAACGTCATCAAATTGCATGAAATATATTCATCTACACATTACTAAATCTTTATTATAATAATAAAGGATTGATTGTCATTATATATTCGAATTTTATTTATATATATATATATATATATATTTTAATGTAAATGTATAGAACTGGGACTAACATCCCGATTCTGTATATTTTCATCATCACGGGACAATGGGGAAATGACAGGAAGGCTAGCATTGTAAGTATTGGATGATTGTGTATATTGATATGATGGATATGATTTATTTCCATTGTACCCCGGATTAAAATAAGGAGCCACAGAACTCAAGGAAGGTAACGTTGGTTGCACTGGTGGAGGAAGTAATGTCGAAGGTCCACCGTGACCTCGTACTGGAGGCAATATTGATTGATTTTGCATAATCGTATCCATCACGTTAGAAGATTCATTGATCATTGATGATACTACCTTGTTAGATTTATCATCCATTTGTAAAGTTTCTTCAGGAGAAGTCACTTCGGTATGGCCATTTGAAACGGCATGGGAAACTGAAGTTGATTCGGCTGAAGAAGAAAGGTTTGGATGATCATCGATATTTACTCTTTGCACGGAGCCAAAATTATCAAAATCATCTAATCTAGAGACGATTTCATATATATCATGTTGACTTTCTTGATTATCTTGATTATCTTGATCATCTTGCCCAACATCAACTTTATTAGATTGATCCTCTTTAGGACTTTGTGGCTTCTTAAAGTATCTGCGAATTCTCTACAACACGATAAAAAATTGTTCTTGTTTTTTTTTTATTTTTATTTTTATTTTTTTGATATTTCTGATGTAAATTAAGTAGAACATACCTTAACGGGTTTATAATTGGGGTTTAGTTTATATACAGTGCCGATACGGAATACGCGTCCTTTTTTGACGGCTTTTTGCAGAGCTTGAGAAGCTGATGCACGGAATTTCTTATGCAAAGGATATGTACTGTTCATAAAAAATGATTAATAATAACGCCAAACGCATCAAGTTGTTAATTATGACCAAACTCACCTCTTCATCCAATCAAAGATACTTCGAGGTGCGCTACCAGCGGGATCTGCAATCGATTCAAGTGCTTGAACAATCATTTCCTCATAAGATGGGAGATCAACTCCAACAACTGGTAAATGCGCACGTGAAGGATCTGTTTGATTATTCTGTGTCATTTGTGTATTTGAATCTTGTGGTGTAAATGATTGATTAGGTGGGAGAGTTGTTGACAACATCTGATTATTTACATTTAAAAGATTATCGTTTGGTGTAGATGAGGATGATCTAATTTTTTCTCTGACATCCGCAGGATATAAAGGAAGATCAGGGTGTAATTTTTCAGCAATTAGAATAAGGTCAATTAAAACTCGTTGTGGTAAAGAAGATAAATAAGCTATTTTCTATTTAAGAAAAAGTGTTTATTAACGAATAAACTTAAATTCCAATCCACTATAAATCAAATCATTTAGATGGATAAAGTGAAATTGTTATAGTAATTCCAAATACCTGCGTTTCAGTTAATCCACTTCCAGAAATATCGCATGGAATATCATTAACATTATTAGAAGTGGCACTACTAGTTTCATTTCGTGATTCAGTGTCTCCATTTTCAACTTTTCTTCGTTTGCGACCTCGTTGTATTTCTTCACACTTTGAACATAACCATTCGGCGGTAGGTATTTCCACGACGCGATCTTCTATGTATGGATTATGACATTGTTGATGAAAGGGAATGTCACAGTTGTCACAGAGAACTATGCGATTGTTTTTTGGAGATCGTCCGTCATGACAAACAGTACAAACAATATCGTCTGAAACAGAACGTTGTGAATCTTTCGCGTCAATAGTTACTTTGGTTTCTCCTTCAGATAATGCATTACTTAAAGTATTAATTGTCAAAGAATTTTGTGGTGTCAATGTTGAAGTTTCTTGTAAGTTACGTTGACGCTTAGCTATATAACAGGAAATCATGATAAATTTAAATAAAGTTCAATAATTTTCGTGATCATGAACTTGTGGTTTATAATATTACCTATTGATTTAATAGGCATAGCTTTTTTATTTTCTTGAGATAATCGCTTTGATTCTGGGGTGAATATTACAGGTTTATGAACCTTTCGACCATATTTTGTTGTATGTAAATTATCTGGAAGAATTAAAGAAATAGAAAAGATTTATTATTAATGAGATTAATTAGATTAATTATATATAGAATACCTACTTGATAAGGGTGACTGCAAACTCATAATTTGTGTTGACGACACATAAGTTATCTTTTTTGAATTTGAGTTTTGAGGTGAAAGTAAATTTTGGTTGACAACCTCGTTTTGTTTGGTGTGTTCAATCACATTCGTGTTTTGAACAGAACTTATATGCACAGTGCCATTTTCCGAAATTTCTGTTTGAATTTCTTCTTCTTCTAGTTCGAATTCTCCGTCCTCGTCGCCCTTAATTATGCACGTTCAAGAACATGACAAAATGTATTAAATTATTTAATGAAGTTTTTTTATTTTTTTAAATGAATTCGAGGTTTTTCGCGAAATAACACCAAATGTCGGCGACATTCTTAAAATTTTTGAGATTCGATAAAATGGCTTACCCATTCTTCTTGTTTATAATTGACCTCCTGTTCATATAAAGTGGAGCCATTCATTAAAATCGTGTTGGGAACAATTTTGTTAGGCTGAGTCAACATTGTTCAATTAATATTTTTTTTATTGATATGCAGAAGTTCTATAAGCTTATGATAAACACTAACAATTAATCAAATTTTATAATTTTATAAAGGTTTGTTTTATTTGAACACTAAGAAAAAACTTTTTTGCTAAAAAATCGGGTGACAGTGTGACGAATAATTGGTATCCTTTTTATACAAATCCCCTTACTATTCACATGAGGTGACACTTTCGTATCAAAAAAAATAAAATGGATAATAGGAACCCGAGCAATACTATACCTAAAAAAATTTTTAATGAATAAATCCTAGTAGGTATTTATCAAGTATTGGCAATGTTAATTCCTAATAGCTAGCATTACAAAATAGCTCTAAACATGACCAGAAGGGTATATACTATTCCAAGTATGGTAATCAGGTAATTGATTTCCGTTGTCACCTGACTCCTGCCTCAGGGTCCTTAATACAATCAAAAAATTAAAATTTTTGGTTTAACAAATTTAATTTAAAAAAAATTTTTCAATTATGTAAGTAGCACATGATACGATTTTAGCCAATCAGAATTCAAAAAATGATCATGTGTTTATATTTTAACAATAAGAATTAAATTATTTTGATATCTAAAAGATATTATCTTAATATCTCAATTTATTATATCAAAAAAATATTGCAAAGATATTTTGAGAATATAATAAAATATTACTAGTCAAATATAAAAGAATCACTATATCAAATGATAATTTTTATACTATAAATCAGTTAAAAATTAGTAAAAATTAACCATTCTATTATATTTTATATTATAAATTAACTAAAATCAGAATTCTTTTTGATACAGTATATCTTTTGTATTTAACTTGTATATTGTTATGATATCTCTAAATAATATTAACTAATGTCTTAAAAATATTATTATTTTGATATTATAAATTATAATGCTTAATTATAATTCAATATTATTATGAGATTTTTTAATTAATAAAATTCATTTCTTCAAAAAAATATTTATTTAATATTTATTAACATTAAAATAATATCTATTTGATATAATTTTTTAATTAAAATTCTTTATTACAGAGATATCTCATATAAAGTTTCTTACAGATCAAGCCTAGTTAAATTCTATAAGACTCAAGTCCGGTGTTACTAGTCAACCTGTCAGGCGAAATAAGGTTCCAACAGGAGGTTTACAACTAGTAAACTCAAGCGATTCAAGTTAGATAACTAAATTATTAATCAAGAATAATTAAACTAATTTTAAGTACGAAGGATAAATTATAA